GTACATTTAAAATGTTTATATATTGGACTTGCAGAGTGTCTATAGACACTTTGGGACTTTTGTGTATAGGGAATCATGGATGTGATATTAATTGATATATATCAATGCGGGTGTCCATAGACACCGTCAACTTCTCATTATTGGGAACTGTATTTTCCAATTTATTTGGTGACTCAAATATTTAAATTTCCTATTGGGTGTCCATAGACACTTTGCTCGCAAGCATTTTGTCAAGTGTTATCGTGGTGTCCATAGACATTTTTGATTTTCAATAAATCAACTAAGTAAGTGTCCATAGACACTTTTATTCTATAGACATGGAAACATTTTCATATTTGTTAGAGGGGTGTCCATAGACACCCCTCTTGTAAATATGATGACGTTTTGGGATGATTTGGAAATTGGTGCATTAACGCGTGAGTGGTGTCCATAGACACCTCATATATAGTAAAACATAAAGTAAATAATACTGTATCTGAATCATATTTTCAAAATTCAAACCATCACTATTTCTGTTATTCCATCACCACAACTTGTTTTTTAGAAAATAAGTACACAGATATTTGGAAATAAATATATGGTTTTAAAAGAGAAACCTGCATTTTCTCTTTTAGTTTTGCACCCTGTTATATGAAACATTGCTGTATGAATATGGTGATTTTTGTTGAATAAATAAGTGACATTGAGTTAGTGGATACGTTTCAAACACTTTATCAGTGATTGCTTCTCGGTAAAAATCAACCAAAAGCGAGACCGAAAGGTTAAGAAATAACTGGAAGTTCTCCCTTGACCTTCATTAAAAATATGAACTTTCTTTAATGTATATTTTTAAATTCAGGGTAAAATTCTGCGACTGAGGTTCTAAGAAGTTAGTCACTTGAGGGTGTTCTTACGAAAATAAGAGGTAAATTTACACTTAATGATTGTACAATTGACTTATTTCTACAGTGGAAAAACTCATTTGTAGGTTTTGGCCGAGTCTCAGTAATACTGATTTTCATTTTGTACAAGCATTGAGTAGCCTCATATCGTGAGTCAGATAATCTCATGATATTGCCAAGCAAATCATAACAAAAAGGGTCAATGTGAAGTGATGATCTAAAACAAAACAAACCCATTTATTGCACTGACCCAGATAACCGCCCCCGTTATTTATGATGAATCTGCAAAATACCCATTTTTGACCTGTCAATTTCACATACATGTACAGGGTGGGCCAAAAAACGTCCACATTTTTGTTTCAGCTTCACATTTTTGATATTACAGACAAATGCACGAACCATATATCATTGGAAAGACAATTCAATTCCAACAATATGGTATAAAATTCATTTTATGTTTTTATGTAAATGAATATTTGTCTTAGAGTTACAGTATCATTTCGATGAACACAGGGGTCAAAATCATGATTTACCAATTACTGAATATAGAATGCTAAGAGCTGACCACCAGAGAGATGTAACCCCTATGTCAGCTTTGGGGATGAAAATTGTTGATTTATGTACCAACTGAAAGAAAATTGATTTACAAATGCAATATTATTGAGTTATTTTACCATTTTGATAGGTACTGGTAATATAACCTAAATAATGTTATGAAGTCTGTTTCAAATAATTGAATATTTATTTATTTTCAAGACATTTTGGAGATGCCTATTTAAGGCTAAAATTATCATGAAAAGGGCAATAATGATGTTGTACTTATATGACGTAACTGACATTTGAAATGGCAGACAATGCAGTTATAGACACCAGAAGAAGAAATCTAACAATCTAACTTTATAATGAACTACATAGAAATAGGTTCCATGGTTATTTCAGAGCTATAAAATGACTTACAAACAATAAAACTCAACTCCAATACTTTTCCTTTATATGTGAAAGCCTAAAAATGTTGATTAAACAATGTGTTATATTATGCAATAAGCTCAAAACATTTATTTAGGCAAGAATGAGGGCGGGGTCAAAAGTAAAGACTCAACCTGGCATAGGGTTTGCTCTTGGTACTTCATTAAGCGCGGGGATACGCCCCTTTTTATATAGCTTCTTTGGTTTGGTTTAGCTTCAGATTTTGGCACTTCCTTTGGAAAATATTAAGAGAATTTCAAATACGTATTCCAAAAGGTAACAACAATTAACAAAGTGAATAATTTTTATTTCGCGAAAATCTGATTTTAATTTACAATAATGGAGAAATTATACTGATAAGACTGAGCTACAGTTTCCCAAAAGAGAACGTGTGCGCGAATGTGTTAAAATAATGCGCCTCTAGCTCAAGGGACTGCCTCTCTCCTTTCTGGTATTAACGTAAACCTTGGTTTAATATTCCCAATATTTACTAATCAAGTTAAATTTAAAGGTATAAGGAAACGTTTATAATTAGGCATCTGGAAAAAACAATTGAGAGAGGGACTTATCCCGGCCTTGGGGCAATGGTATTAAACGCACACCTCTTCTTAAAACGTGTAGCTTGACCTTTAACGTTTTTAAATCCATGACTTGCAATTAAATGTCGAGTCATATGACTGATTAAAGTGATTAGATAACACAGTGCTTGAGAAAATATTGCTGACAGTGGAGATTGCCTCGAAAATAAGATTAATCAATGACAAAAAATCACGAGACTAGAACAATCAAGTTCCAAAACCACGCAGGATACTGACACTACGCTCTCGATATTCTAGAACAGTTTGTGTATTTTTCATCACCCCAAGTTCAGAGGTTAGTTTAAAACAATGAAATGAAGATCTTCTTAAAAGAAGCTTAGTCAATCTGATGCGAATGGTAATTTTTCATACCAATACGATTTAGGATTGAGTTTGGATGGATGGCGAGTGATACTTGGTCAAGGCAGAAAAGTTTTCTGCCTTTTTTATTCATCAAGCTCTGCAAAGGGTAAAAAGTTCTTGTGCAACACGTATGCAACAGCTAATTATAATTGTGTGTTGACCTCGGTTTCTGATGGAATATTTCTAAATATAAAACATTTTGTTTTCAGGGAACACGATTCTCTTAATTATCTGACCCCATTATGCAACATGATCAATCTCTTATTAATAAACATTTTGTTCATTTACTTATCTACACTCCCCTCCATAAGTTGGATATCACATGGGCGTAGCCAGGGGGGGGGGGGGTGCGATGGGTGCGATCGCACCCCCCCCATAACCTTTGAAAATATGACCATTGGATAGAGGTAGAAAAGAGCTTTAAAATGCTTTTTATTTGAAGCTTCTAGCTCAATTTTGAAGGAAGTTGCATCAATTTTTGTAAAATTCAAAAGAAATCTTAATTTTTTGTGTTGCTTATGGCAAAATCGCACCCCCCCCTGACCGAAAACTGAAAAAATTTCGGCGATCGCACCCCCCCCTGACTGAAAGCTGGCTACGCCCCTGTATCATATCAAAGCCTAACAATGGTTAGGTTGAATCTTCATTTTGCTCTACGATTCCAACAGTTCAGAAATTTATTCCTTTGATTTTTTAAATTGCTTTGAACATACGATCGTAAATAAGTGTTCCAGAAGGGGCTTCCGTTTGCCAAACTTATAGAGGGAATTGTAGTTATATTTGCCTCCTTTATTAATTATTATTTCATATTCTATCACAGTTATTTAGGGATGGCCAGATCCTAGAGGTAAGCTGTCATTACCAAATTATCTGATTAACAATGCGTCGGATTATCTCATGGATAATCTTCCTAGATATTCTGTCAGTCCCAATATGAGTTGTTTAAATAGTTTAGCCTTGTTTGCTGCCGAATTTTGAAATCAATAAAGATTAATTGGTAAATTGTACGGACACATGTAGAAACATGATAAGTTAGATAGATCTCTAGTACACACCACTTGGAGTTAATTTTATTAATGACATACAAAATACAGTACAGGGAAAAATATTCCAAAACGTACTACTAGTAATCTTAATGTAATAACGCTTTATCCAAATTTTAGAGTACATTAACTCAGTTCCTGGAAAGAGGATACCTAATCAAACATGGTGTTATACGACAAGATACGATATCTCCCAGTTATCATATTAGTATTTATTCGTTTATGATTGCCATATATTATGTGGTTTAATTTGTAAGCACCCTAAAATTCGAAATGATTTAAAAGTCAAGAGTGGATTTCGGTGCCCTTAATCGCAGGCGTACGCCAGTCGCCAAACAAGCCTGTCAAGTCTCTGTATTTACGAGCCATGCCACGAGAACTACTTGAGAGGGTAAACAAACTAAAAATATGTACTTTTTATAGTTCAGCATATACTATAACAATACATAACAACATCGAGATGATAAAGCATGTGGATTGTACAGTACCTTAGCCATGAAACATCGACAGCGTTTTGAAATGTTACTTTCAATATTCAATCAATATTCAATCGGAGGATCAAATTGATTGCCGGCCATTGGCATGTAAGACTGACTTACCTGATATACCGCACTGTGATGAGCAGCTAATTATACATGTTAAACATATCAGTTTAATTAGCTTCGTATAAAATTGGCGATCTACCTCGTTCGATAAATTAGATTAAGTCTTGGACTCGAGGTTCGATAGGGTGAAAGGGCAAGATTTCAACATCAGGGTTAATTTGAAGAAATAAGGCAATCTGAGTGCAAAGTTCCATCTTTGGGGAAAACAAGTGTCCAGACTGTGACACGAGGCCAATATTCGAGGCGACACCTACAATTTCAAGGGAATCTGGAAACACGGTAAAAAATATCTCAGCGCATCGTGCTCGACCAGGAAAATTACAAAATAATTTATAGAAATCACGTGGCGATAAAACAATCAAAATTGATTGTAAAATTGAGGAAAAATGCATGATTATTCTAAAAATAATTGAGATTGTTATGTTCTGTTAACCCATATTTAAGATGTTAGCTCGGCAACGTGCAAATAGGAATGGACCCGACAAAGTCTGAAGGCGTAAGGCTCTGCAGTTAAAGACTCGCAAAATCACTTGTTTTGGCCTTTCCGCTTGTTAAATACCAATGTAATAAAATCAGGAATGTTAAGTTAACCGCATTGAATTAGAACAACTAGGAAAAAGTGAAATTCTCTTTATTAAGTTTCCAGAAAGTATCAACTCGAGAATGATTGGCAGTTTACCTGTACTCGTAAGAATCCTTGATTAGCTAGGGAGAAATTTTGGCCTCTGAGTCATTAGAAAAAAGGCGATGTGAGCTCAGTTTGTTTTGGATACAAAGGTGAATAAACGCATATCAAAGCAAGACGTGTAAAATTGTTAAAGGTATAAATGAATGTTTAACTTCATAAAAACAATAATATACATGTAGGATCTACTTCTGGAGACGTTTTGACACTAAGCCTCTATCTAAAGTGGGATAAAATATAAAACTTACAAGTTAAGTTATCAGGACATGTTGTAACACATATATTTAATAACAAGTATGATGAATTGATAAAAGCATTGGAGGTTATTAAGTACAATAAGACAAGACGATGAATGCAATACACGCGTTTAACAATTCTATCGCATTAGCGGATACCAAAGCATCGGGCAGGGACGTGAAGCGTAGCCCATCGATCCCCGAGCGTGACCACGATGGGCACAGAGGATCTTACTCAGATACTGACGCTAGCCCATCAAGATATTCAGACTCCAATCTTTTGGGATATTTTAAAAGGAAACTTAGTAAATCAAAGAAATCAAAAAGGCCATCCATTGATTCGGCGTTGTCTTTTCATCTGGATACGTTATTTTGTGAAGAGAAATCGCCGGAACACGAACTTATAAGAAGGAAATCATCGAGTGATAAAGTAACGGGTGATGGATTGAGGTCAAGGTCGAGTAAACATTCTCAAAGTTCAAGGTCATTTGATGGAGTTTTTGACCGCTTTAAGCACAAGAAAAACTCAGCGGGAACGTTGAAACTTCCCCATGCACACACTGACAAATGCTTAGATCGGTATAGTACGCCATCTCCGACTCCGAGGCGTGGCCGAAGCGTTTCGGTCGGAATCGTTGACTTAGATAATCTAGCTGATTTCCATCGAAACATCGCTGGAATAGAACGCATAAAACCATGTAATAATGGCGACCGAATCTCACCGGAAAATAACGATAATTGTCGGAGGAGTAGTTCTAATGGAAGCTCCGGTTCGTCCAAATCATTCCTCTATTCATCTGATGGTTTTGACGTTACGCCTGAATTGGATGAAGACGATGTCGGTGAAGAGGACGTGATATTTCCAATAAACGAAGAACAAAAGAATCCAAGTAATGCGTCTCTGAAGTCTATGAGCGGTCGGCTAGAGAGAACATTTTCAGAGGTGAGTGGATTTCATTTTTTGCTTGTATCAATAATGGAATTAAACCGTAAACGACTTTAGATAGTAGAATTGAGAGATAGAAACTGATTTTTCGAATAAATGTCGCAAAATGCCATCTTTATATGAAGATGGTAGATGTATGTGTATAAGTCCTATCGAGTCGTTATCGAGGTAATTCGTCAACAAGAATCCCGTCTAGTTTCATCAAACCATTATAATATTTCCATAAGGAAATATCCTGCTTTTGTCATTTCTGGATATTTTAATGATCCAGGTTTAGTCCATTGGTGACCTATGACCTATCTTAGTAAATTTCATAATATTCAGATTTAATTGAATATAATTAGTGTGCATTAATTCTCAGATCGTGTCATTTTTTAGAAAATGGCGGCCATTTTAAGTTTTGACATTATAAGACGAGAACCAAAGTATTAATGCAATCATAAGTCTTATAGAATGGAATACTTAATATCTTAATTTGCAATTAAATAGCTAGCAGACCATGATTTCAAATTAGTTGTTTTTCTGGAAGGTTACTTTGTCGTTGCCACGAGCATCGCATGTCGATTAATGATGTGCTTTTATGAATTGTCAATCCTAATGTCATATTCAATTACATCTCTCCGTATCTATAAAATTATCATTTATTATTGATATATTATCATAATAATTTGTATTGAAACTATTGTCTGTTAATGATAATACTATATGGACTTGATTAATTATTTATTATTAGTCACTATTTATATTATATGATAAGGGTCGATCAAAATAAGAAATATGGTCTGGAATAGAGTACTACATTATTGTAACAAAAATACTAAAGAAAATTTTAGAAATGTATATCAACCTCGAAATAAGTGCTCCTTACCTTAATTTGTTTTTATCTAATGGTTTGTTATTACTTCTTTAAAAATAGAACAATTTTTCTATTTTTAGATTCTCAAGTTTTTCTGATTTTCACGGAACGATAAAAATCCGATAAAATGGGTATTCGGATATATAGGTTTCACTACATAAACGTCATTTTGATCCATCAATTTGCAATGTATTACATATGACGGAAGGAATACTTTGGTTTAACAGTATGCCTACATTTACCTACCGACCCAGTTATTTATTACCAAGTACTTATTTCACACATGGCATTGAAATGGGTGTGCACGTTCTTTGTGCAATTCGGGCTCATCTCGGTCAATATTAACTAGAATCTCATTGCAATCGAAACATCATAAAGATAAGTCACGAAAGTGGTATCCCGTAACATTTTTGTGAAGTTCAGCATAGAGTGACGGCGACTTAGGTGTCCGTTTACTTGTTCACATTTTTTCTGGTCGAGAAAAGTTTTTTTTAAGTTGGCCCTCTTTTATGAATTGGTACAGTATAAGAATAGGTATAAAAGTCATAGATTTAGGATATTCCGGAGGCTCAGAGCTTATTTTGGTCACTATTTCGTTCAAGTGCGATACCTATAGTCATCGTCAACTGTCGCCACACTGGTGAATTTGAGGTGGATCTTATCTTTGAAGGTCATTTGCAAGGTACAAATGAAGTATCATAGTTTAAAGGCTACATTAGTTATGTTCTACCAAAGTTTTATTCCACACTTGATTTCCAACAATTTTGAACAATAGTTTTCATGAACATGTTCTGCTTTTGGGAATTTTCGATTGGTCGTATGCAGTCGTGTGGTTTCGTACGCCAAGTTGCTAACTAATACTAGTTTTGAGCTTTTTGTGGTTTATGAAATGTGTGCGATAGAATTTAACTTATTAACCGAGTGTTTGGTTTACAAGCCTCAATCAAAGTTTGTCAACAAAAGTTGAAGTACTTGGTTAGATTAATCTAGAAAATATTATACAGATGTCGATATATTTCTACTAAATTTGCAATTTTTAAATTTGTAAAGATTCATGATCATATATACCAAATGTAAATTTTGTTTTAGAATGAAGGTTGTAAACCTTTATTGTATACATGTCCTTTCCGGACGGTATACCTTATACCAGAGATACCTTATAAACCTCCAGTTTTTCATCTTCAAAGTCAATATTGACCTTAGACCTGTAAATATTTCCGATAACTTGGACATTGTTGGTTAAAGATGGGTGTCTTTAAAGTACACACTATGACACATTAATGAACAACTTAATAATGTGGGAGATTCTAATAATTTTAATCAGATATAAGCAATAATCAAACCGCCAAGGTGCGCCCATCAAAGTAAGAGAAACTCGGCGATGATTGTACTGTATGTAAATTGTAGATACAAACAAAAATAAAGCTGTATCTAAATCTAAACAAGCAGTAGAAGAAATCCATCAACTCATCAACACAAATTGGGGAAATAATTGCCAGGAAATGAATCAATTAAAATCTCTTTCATCACAAAAGTTGGCCCATAGACAAACAACTGTTTACAATTCATTTCAACTATGAGATTCTTCAACAGGGAACGATAATACACAAAGCGAGGATAGCTATCAAGACAGTATCAAATAACCTAACAGAACCCCGGAACAGACCACGTTAATCCGGGCTCTCTGACCCAAACAGCCAGCAGGGTCAAACCATAACAGCAACCAGTGTACATCGATATATATTATATACAATACCACGTAGTCATTTTTAGAAGAAGCAATACTCCAGAACGAATCAACAAAACAAATATGAAGTATAATTGGTAAAAGAATAGCTTTTAAGGATACAACCAGAATAGTCAACAACACTTATAGCCATTTTTGGATACGGATGAAACAATGAATTAGGAACGAATGAATTATATAAAACTTAAGGGATTTGATGAAGAAATCGCACAGATTCGATATTACAGCAATACAAACACACACAGTCAGATGACATTTTACATCGAAGTATAAACTTACCGAGACCAATTAACACCAACAGAGGCATATTGAGGCTAACTGAGATACTAATGAACAGCAGATCTAGAAGATCACGTTGACATGGATTAAGAATTGAGAGGGCAAAACGCAAAAGTTTAGTCGTACGTGTTTGAATGTTTTTGCGAAGTTTTAAACTTTGACAAAGTACAAAGTACCAATGTGTGTTTACTTCGTGTTCGTTAATAGATCTTGATGAAAATCGTAATGGAAATCAGTTTCATGTTATGTTGTAGCAATACAGCATCGCCATGAAGTAAATCCGTCAGTTTTTGGACAGTTATTGAAGTGCCAGCGAGTTCAGAGTTAGTAGGGCAATGTACAGTTCAAGAAGCGCCTCAGGAAATTTATGAAGTAAAATAACGCAGCACTCTCAGTACAAAGAACTGTTTAATAGGCTCTGTACAGAGCCAGTTAGATGACCTTGGAGAAGTCTGCAGTAGCATTTGGAACAGAACCACTGCAATTTAAACTGAACTAGGAAAAGTACTTCATATTTACCATCCAATTACCGTCCAATCAAATGCAACTATTAGCAGGATATTAGCTACTTTACATTCATTGGGAGACGAACGCTCAAAATATGAGGAATTTACGATGGTTGTCATGGTGACACTGCAACGGAAGTTACCGTAACCAGTAGTCAGAACCAGGAAATATTTGGAATTTATCTCATATAACATCGTAGGAGTTTTAATTGACAGTATAATGAATTTGTGATTAAACCACAAGATAACTGCATGGGGTTCAGTTTAATCGTTTCCGGTCAAGTGTCTGACGTCAAGGTGGAGTTTGGGTATTTATCGCTTAGTTACCGTGGTTACCAATGGAAGGTTAATAACAAACGACACTGATGTGGATTAAAATAGACGTTGTATTTAAGAAGATAATTTATGTACTGCTCTGTTGGTTGAATCTGTGGTGGATTATTGGTACTGTTACTATAGTAACGAAGTAGACAATTGATACGCGTTGCCCTCGAAGTTTGCACTGTGAGACAAAATTATATTTTCGACTTTCTATCGATTTTGATAAGTGTTTTTGACATTGATAGCTGCCAAAGACTGATAAATCTTGGAACCTCAAAAACCATAAAACATATGTGGACATTCTATGTTTTAAAATTTAGAATTTGTTGTAGACAAATGGGAAGTACATTTATCTTAAGGTTAACGTGACCTTGACCTCAAATATTTGGTTGTTATGGAACTTATGACACTGCAGATACTTTAACAAGAGGATTAACGTAAATCTGACAGCTCTGATTATAGCTTATAAAACTTGAGGAATTTCGACCTTCAAAGGAAATCGGTTTAGGTACATTATCCATAAATCCAGTTTTAATGAGCCAAAAATTAATCCATATTGATTATGAATGATACCTAAACAAAGACGGAATAATTTGGACATTATCTCAGAAGATAAATGATATACAAATCCAGACGCTTTCGCTTCTATGAAACATTTTGATCTCGTTTGTATGTCGACATTTTTAGGATATTTTAATGTCAAAATAGAAAATGTCAAAGGAATTTGAGAACTCTGCTGCTGTTTTGTACGTGGATGACGTTCCACCACATCGTAACAATACAAGTTTGGAAAGAGTTAGGGGAAAGAGCACAGGATTCTCCACAGAACAAGTCCAATATGAGGACAATGCGGCTAGCGAATCATTCGAAGCACCCAGCTATAGTTCATCTTCAGAGTCGGCGTCATCTTCGCCTGAATCAAGTTTCGCATTATTTGGTGCACATGGTACAAATATACCAACTGAGAGAGGAATAGGAATAAATGGCAAAAATCAAAGTGTATCACCCGGAAAAATGTTAACTGTGAAAAGTGCTTCACTCGGAAGGAACGTCCATTTAGGCAGTAGTTTGCCCCTAGAGCAAGATGAGGCTTTCAGTAACATTGATCATTTCTGTGAGACACCAAGGACAAAATGTTGTGGGACATTTATGTTGGGCAAAAGCGCATCATTGGGGAAAAATAACCCATACGAACAGAGATCTAAAAACAAAGAACTCGCACGAACGAATAGCAATGGTGAATTATCTTATGGTTTATCTCCACCACGTTTATCCCACGAGCGAATCTCACCAAGTACTTGCTCGGCGTCCATCGACTTAGCTCTCTTGAAGAGGTCCGGCAGTGCCCCAAGTAGACCAAGTCGGTCCTCAAGGGCAATGCCTATTAGGTCTAAAAGTTCAGTCAGTGGCTCACGATCAGCGAATAGTTCCCCACGAATGAAGCAACGCCGGGTTGGGGTCGTGTATGACAATACGTCAGGAATTTTCAATCGCTACAGTTTACAGGTAAATACCACATCTTAATTCGTAGTGCTTTTCCAACTCCCTCTTCAGAGGGCCAATCATAATCTTGTAACTACGTCTATTAATATTTTACTGTTGGCTTATCACAGTTTCCTGTAAAACACTATAAATAATCGGAATACTCGCTCTTATATTTACGGCAATGGTACTTGACTCATTGGTTAACTCTATAAAATAAATGCATTTTAGACAATTTATGAGATTTTTGCTCCAATATCCCTCCCTTAGCAGGGGTTTGTCATTTCCCCTTGGCACTATTGCATACATATTTGTTTGTTAATTAGAGAACTTTAAATGTGTAGTTGATGTAGTTAATTTGTAGTTAATGTAGTTAAATAATTGACCGTGTAAACATAACATATAATATTTTACATATAAATGAATCGGTACACTATGTCTCGCATTTTAGAAATATTTCATAACGTATTCCTGGACCTCAAACCATGTAGATAAGACTAAAAATAGTCAGAGGATTAAATAATCAAAAAGCTTTCAGGGTATGTTTGTCTGAGGTACTAGCCTGAGTTTGTTGTGGTAAGCCATAGGTGAAGACCCTTGAAGTGCTGCTGCTAAGAATAGAACTTTCCACATTCCATTTATAATTACCCGATGAATGTATCTTTCATCCGCAAATGGCTTCATTCCAATCATTGTTGAAGATGCGCAAAAAATGATGACGTATAACACACTTTCGCAATTACAAATCGATATGAAATTTATATCATGATTTGCAATTCAAATTCTCTTTGTGTGGCCACCCAAAACTGTTCATTTTGAAACCAAAAGGGTGAATAATTGCTATGTTGAAGAACAGGTCGTAAAATATGGTGTTCTTATATCGTGACTTTCAGAAAAACGAAATCAACGTAGATGCATATGTATGAAGATTCACAAGTGAAAAATTCAAATAAAAAAAGCATATGATGAATGAAACCGTAATGAATTCGAATTAAAGTATAAATACTCAACTTCTGTCACAAGTTGACATCAAGACACCATTTCTTTTGTTAAAACAAAACGATTCACGGGCTGGAAATCATTGCTAATAAAGATCGTCGAGACAAGCTAAACTGTACAAGCACTTTATCACCTTTGCTCCGTAAACTTCAAATATTGAAGAGTATTCACCTGAAAAACATTTGCACACCTGTAGATTTACAAATGATGACATTTCACCTGCTTTGGGCACTCAATTGTCAAAACAATCAGACTTTGTGTAATTTGTATTACTTCTTAGTGCAATGAGCTTTTTAAGGGCTGTTGCAAGTCTGTTCATGATGTTCTCAAATGCATAGTTTAAAACGCAAAGGTATTAAAGTGATAATTGTTAAGGCCTATTTTCAGATGTACATGTATATCAATTTATGTGAAGTAAACAAACCAGCATTTTCGGATACTATCCAGAAGCTCATTCGAATCCACTCATTAGAATCGTCACTTTTTTTTTATCCTTATATGAAATCCATAAACACATTTAGTATCAGTTATGATTGACAGTTGCAAAGATATACAATGATGCGGAATGCAATAAAATTGTATGACGCCCAATAAATGTCAAATTATATAAACCCCTCAAAGATCCTGAGAGAATAACAAAGGTCATTAAAGCCGCAAGAAGGCAATTGTACTCCATAAAGGTCCTCAAAGTTCCACAAGAGCACAACGAGCCCGCCCGAAAGGCCCTTAGAGCCATACAGACGTTGGATATGTTTTAAATTGCTGACTTAATAATGCATCCTAAAAAGAATGCAACTAAGCAACGGAGATGAACTTGGCAACCAATCGTCGTCTAGTCTTCTATCAAAACAATAATAGGTACTGCCTAGCGATGCTATAGTACCATGTTTAAGACATGTTTGTGTACAAACACTCCCACTACAAGGTTATCATCAAGGAACTACAACTTAAAGGAAGCAGCGTCCCTGATCGTGCTATATCCATTAAAATTCAATTGTAATCTAATCTTGAATTATTTCTGAACCCTCAATTCAAACATTTTGAAGAATTCTCTCAGTTTGGTATGTAGACGTAGGAATTTTTAGTGGCATGATGACGTCATTATGCCTGTCTAAGTGAGTTATTATCAATTGTTTATATTGATATATGTTTTGAATACTTTATATGTTACTACTCATTGGATATCATAATTAATTATATCACTGACGACCCCCTTATAATCACGAATTTTAAGGTTAAATAACAAATATAACTTGGAGGTACAATCGATCATTTAATTGCTGAAGTTGTCGCTATGATGTCCAAAAGTAGGAAAATCCCAAAAAAGGTAAATAAAGCTGTATGATATTTAAAGAAAGTACTAATCATTTGAAATTGAAATACATAATAATAAATTGACGGGTTTATCCTGGGAATTTTATGTTTTTTTTCAATATTGATCTTAAATATCAGGTATAATTTTACAATTTTGAAAGTTGATCAGTCTTATTTTTTGCTCTGCAGTACTTAGTTTGTTTTACTTATTCATATCGTGAATATGTGATTCTTTCGTAATTGCTCTACGTGTTCAGGAAACTAGGCATTTGCATTTTTATAAGTCATACAGAGTCATCTAGAGACACCTGTCAATCGATCAATTAGTAATAGTGTGTGCTGCCATCTATACACTGTGTTAGAAAATGTAACAGGTAAAGAAGGATACAACAATGAAAACTATGCAAATAAAAATAGCTCTGTAACTGGGAAATTTAATTGATGAGTTTTCGTGTGATATGTGATATGTCCACTATAAAGAAATGCACAGGAACTTGTCACAATCCAAAGTTTAAACACTTTGACGTCATCGATTTTCAAAAAAGGTTGTACGTGTACTTTTAAAATCATACCAACAGGAGATTCCATATGGTACACCTGGAAATACTCAACTTCCGAAAGTACAAGGTATGGTTAAACATTCTTAGTTAGGCTAATTATACACATATATCAAAACATAATTTACGCACTGATATTGAACCTACACCACCCTTGTTAACATTACAATTTCCTCATGATATATGCCTTAGCATTTTGCGAAAGAATATATGTATAGCAAAAAGAAGTAATCTCGAGAGTTAAACTTCCGGTTGTAAAGCATTGAAAGATATATACATGTATATTGTTATGTCAGATACAATAATTTCGTTAGAAATTGTACTTCATCTTTAGTGCAAACGTAGAGAAAGGGCAGATATGCTTAATAGCACAGTTTCTACAGTATTTTAGCCTACTTCACCCATTTAAAAATGTCCATGGTCTTTCATAAAAAGTCAATTATTTACAATTTTTGAAGATCAAATATAAATCAAATAAATATAACGTTGATTGATCACACGCTTTATATAGCCATGGAAACATTACTGTATATTTAATTTCCCTTCACGAGGATGATATAGTCATAAAACATTAAAATTGATTTTACATCGGGATTGTGTCGGGAAAATGAGATCCTCTTTCCATATTTGAAATTGAATGAAACAAGCCTGACCATCTCAGCTTTAAAAGCTTAGACATATTGCACTTATCTACTGAGTGGGTTAGGCGTAGGTGGCGTGCCCCTTAATAAGTACTTTTCAAGGATGAAATAATGTAACGTACATATGAGAATCAAAAGTGATACCCGACGGGGTAATTTTATCGAATCATGACGTCACGATAAGCTCTACAAATTTGAACCAATGAGAAAAGAGGCTCGAACACCTCATGTATAAGATACAAAACCGCAGAAACATATAACCGTCATGCATCAAAGAGATTTCAATAACTGTATAGAAAAATTATATATTGGCTACATATAAGTCTTTAACAAAACCATATTGTAGGAAATGTGTATACTCTAATATCCATGGTACTATATCCCCAAAATATATGAGAAAGTCTCGATACTGTCATAGAAGCAAGTATAAAGTGCTGTATGGATACCATTATAATGATGCTTTTACAACTGAATACTGACGATCAACTTTCCCTGACTTCATTGACCCAATACATGCCTGTCACCCTTGTAGTGTAGTTCAAAAACAGAATGATTTTTCCACAGATGGTCCCGATTGTGTCTGATATCATGTCATACCCGTTTACATATTCACACTTTCCATCATAGGTTCAGGATAATCCTGCCTGATAGTCAAATAGTGTATTGCAAAGCGAATGTCTAGGTTTATTTTAAAGTTTAAGTTCATCAGTAAGATAAGTTTGATATGTTTGATTGGTTGACTAATTTGTGTATATACAGGCCAGCTACAAAACATATTTCTTTTTTAAGACAAATTGTTTTGGTCAAGCCTTAGATAACTACTGATTACCATTCACTGCCGCCCCCGCCCTCCTACTGGAACCTAGTGGCTTTTAAATGCACCCGAGGACATAAAGTGTGCCTCGTAATTTATACTCCAGGATTTTGGAAAGGCATGGACCAGATTCTTAACAGTTTTATTTATGTGTATATATCATTTACTCTTTGATGAACGATACGACGCAAGGTAGATCATCTCCCAAGGTTTGTGGTGCCGTGACTTACCACTCTAAAAATGTATTTCGAATCTTGCAAGTTTCACTCTCTCCAATTGATCCGTACAATTTATATGAATTTCACTCTTTCTTTTAGTTTTACCAACGCTTTGTGCATCCAATGCTGTATTACTTAATACTTTATCAAAGCCTCTTGATTGCACTTTCTACGTATAACAAACGTAAACGTACACGATATACGCAGGTTTGGCAAATGAGATCCGCCGTAGATCCGCCTTAGAGCATTTGCCTTCTGACTTGCAACTATCAGATTTGGGCTAATGAGTACTCGTGAGATCATGACTTTGCTGGGGGTCAAGGAAAATATGTTACTCCTGAAGTTTGGCACATAGACAGATCCTGATGAATCATACCCCTCGACTGGTCGTTTATGGCCCTTTAAAACCTCTTGAATACCAGCTCATTTTTCTTTTTTGCTTGCCTTTGCACAGTCTCTGGTGTTCATTTTGCAAATATAAGTGAACAAAATTACACATATATTTAAATGCATATTTTGTATAGATCTATCAAGATGTTATAATGTTAAAGCCATTTTAGTAAGAAATTATATTCTTTGATTTATAACACTCTTTGTATTTAAGGTATTAAAAGTGTAGAAAATTACATTAAATTAATCTGAAGCAAAAGTAGCCTAAAAATAGATAATTTGTAATAATTTCGTAATACATTCGAGGAAAGGAATCCATAATCTAGAAATTGTGCTAAAGATCATAATATATTGCGCAATATACGTAACTAAAAGTTGATTTCTAATTTCTTAGTTTATTCAATTTAATTCATGTTATTCTAAATCAAACATCAGACCCTTCTTATTTCTTACTTAGGAAAATTTAAATCTAAGATATATGAGCAATAATGCAGTAGCAAACTACATGCTTCACACCCTTGTTTGATACCTTTCAAGTATTATTTTTAAGTGTTTAAAATTTGTTTATATAAAGATCCATTTAAAACCGTTAAACTAAAAAACACCATGATTTTTTACAATTCATTGCAATAAAAATGCTCACAGTAATATTAAGTGAACAAAATTCTATATTTGAAGATCTATACGATCAATATTTTTTTGTTAATTAAAGGCGTGTCATAGGAAAATACATACATCCGTTTTATTTGAAAGGGAGAAAAATTATGCATTAAACATTAGTATTTTACCTTTATTAACTTCCTCAAAACGTGAATTGGTTCAAGAGGTAGTCTGAGGAGCATTATTCAATGTTAAGTCTACGTTTGAATCTAGAATCTAGCACGTAAGCCCTCCCAAGGGATACCACGTTTGGAAAAAGATGCGAAACTATATTTCCAGGATACGAAACTAAATTTCCAGGATGACTAAATATTCAAATTTTCTAAAGCTGAAAACCAATGAATTTTGATTGAATTCGCATTAAAAGCTTCGGGCTTTTTTCCTCAATTCTTGTTAATCCTATTTCTTTTTCTTCTTGATTTGTTTGCATTTTTACTGTGACACTGTGGTTACATTCCAATCCTTGCATTACAAGTTAAGACCCTAGTCCATATTAGCATGGGGACCATATTAGAGAATTTGACTAAAAACAACCTATATTGTACTTAGATGATGTATTATGATTTTAAATAAGAACATGTTGATTATTTTCTTATGGTGTCTATCTTTCAAGTATAAGTAAGTTTATTTAGGCCAGAATTAAAGTACCTCAAACAATGCCATTCATAATGTAGACAAGGGACTGATCATAGTACTATACGCGTATGTACACGCGTTCAAAAACAAACTTGATCTACATTTTTTGAACAAGTAACCACTTACCTGTTAAACATTAACTTTAACAAAAATGACATCATGGATAAATATATTAAAGATTGCAGCATATTTGAAATTTCCCCATTGATCGATCGTATTTAACCTTTTATTGATCATAAGCAACTTCCGCATTGTGTCAATCAGCAATCAAATAGGAATATAACCAGATGAGCATGTAAGGTTAATGGTATATTTTGGCAGATGGGAGTATAAAACTTGAATGTAGAAAGTGTCTGCTAATATTCTGTTAAGATTCATCGCTAGCTAACAGATAGAGAAACGTTAAAGTACATCAAGGCTTATCACTCAAGATCAATTTCAAGTACAGAGTGGGATATAAGATAACATATAAGATAGTCTAGACGTTAAGTATTATCTTAAGATATACAGAATTACAATTGGAAAACATTTATCAAGAACGCATTCAAGCATTCACGAAATACACGCCTTGTGTGGGAGAACATTGCCCACTCCTCTCTGGATGGATACTATATAAAATCAATTTGATAATTTGATCAGAACTTTTCATTTCGATTCACCGGCTTAGGACGCTATTGGATTATATTAGATCCGGATTAAGATCAGGGATTAGGATAAAAGGATTAAACTCATGAAACTGATGCCACCACGTATAAGTTGTGTTTGTTGTTCAAAGACAAGTAGATTTAGCTTAAGTAATGCGCCTCTGAGTCCTCCATACATAGAGACAGCACAGATAAAAGATTCAAATGATGAGCCACCGAAATTGGGTCAAAAGGACGATCACAATAGTAATCAAACCACCGTTGCCAAAACTGAAGTTCAAACAGAAGAGGTAATCTTATAGTTTGAAGTTTTTATGGTAACGAGATTTTATGTGTGTGATTAGAATCGTTTTATTAGTTTCAAGTTCTTTTAATCCAATTTTTTGATCAATCCAAGTCAAGTGTTAACTAACAAGTTTATATAAATTGCGAATTATAACCTTAATGATAAAGCACGATTCCGGCTTTAGTATAGACATATGTAAAATGTTATGTATACGTAATTTATCAAAATGTGCATGTCAGACATGTGCATGTTAAGATCGCGTAAACATATTCAGTCAAAATGGTTTCTTCAAACAGAAAGGTATGTTTATTTTGGCAAAGGATTTTATTACACTTGGGGATGATTTTAATGGAAATTTTGTAATATTCAAGGTACTCCTTGACAATGTTCTATTTACTTCTGTAGTTCCGTGTTGAAAAGTTGTCATGTTACTATTTATAATCTATTGCATATATAATCAGTTTAATCTAATGCTATTTTTTTTATTTGTTCCTGTCATTTAAATAATACGTGGAAGAATTTATAACAATTCCTAGACAATGTGCTCTTGGTTTTGTTTTAGTTCCGCGTTCTTGGATTTAGCCATGTTACTATATATAATTCATTGCACATATAATCTATTTAATGAAATTAAATGTTTGGGTGTCAAAAAAAGAATTTTCTTGTGGAGCTACATATATCTTATTACATACTCCAATTACATGGATAATATTGGTTTACTGCAGGCAAGGATCGTTAAGTTCAAATACAATAATTGTTTGTTTTCAACAACATAAAATATAATATGATCGTTTTAGACTACCATTGTGGTGTTTCTTAATGATGCAGCTAATGCAGCTGTCTAATTATAGGATAATTGCAATTGTCTAGTCACAAGATTGCCTGAAGAATCTTCTTTTATAGTTAAGAGTTCTTAGAAATTAATTGTAACTTTAAATGTCGAAATAGCTTTTCAAACTAGTTTAATTAACTTCATATGAGCTATATTTAATTGCATTATTGTGTTGAAATTAATTGTTTACCCAAACCTAACCCTATGTGTTGCTCAAAACAGTTTAGCCATATCTGTTCTAGAATGACTGCAGTTATATATGTCGTTTGTTCAAAACTTCTTACCTTGTGTGTTTCAGAATGACCACTGTTATAGAATGCTACTCCAGAGTGTCATTAATCCATTGGGTGCAGCAGACACACATCCGGGTTTCCGGCCTAAGGATCTGGCATCAACTATTAAGCAAGTCTTTCAAATCCCCGGGGAGAAACACGAATTATGGCTGAAAGACGCCGAAAGTAGAAAAGTAAATTTATTTTAACATTTTCAACAATTTATTTAACAAACAGTTGTTCAATAAAAAAAAGCTACAATTGTGATAAACTACAATAAAACTTTCCAAGACCGGTGTGAAAGAAATAATGGGCCCCCAGGGATTATGGTCCCCTTTCTTAACGGCCCTTACTGGACCTGATTGTGTATAAAATAATGAGGGAGAGTTGTATTTAGGTCACCATATAAATCAATGGAGAGTAGGACCATTATTTGATAGGACCTCCTACCGTTTTACACCGGCAAGAAACCCGTTTCTTATTTTGGCAGTATCTATCCAAGTTGCACAGATGCAGAGATTAGGCTTTTGAAATGTGTGTAACAAATCTGGTTTTCCTGAATTATCCAAATTGAACATCACATATTGTACATTAATCGTTTGATGTAGAATAGTAAAAACTAACTAAAAATGAAAAACGCTCTGGTATCCGATGGGTTGATAACTGTATTCATAACCCGGGCATGCTTGAATATTCTTAATCTGTAAAATATTATTTTCAGCCGTCCAATATTGTCCTAAATGTCAAAGTCGTGAGCGCCAAGGACCTAAAACCAATGGATTCAAATGGTAAGTAGCTACAAATATCCGTATAGATTTTTAAAATGAGGACTTTGAATTGTTGAATAAATTATGTATAACATACCATATATTCAAATAAACTTTAACTCGAAATGCAATGTAGAATGAGAAGTTAGAAGTGTATCCATAATTTTTTATAGCCTTCATATCAAATTAAACTAAACGTATGGAATTTTGGAATATTTTGATAATAATTTGATATTTGACAACATATCCAGCTGTATTGGTATCTTAAATGAATGAAATCACGTGATTGGATTATTTTCTTTACGTTTAAGTTACAAAACATCATGAGATAATCATCTAACCAACTATTTCAATATTTGATAGCAAAGGTATGGAATGCTGAATATAAATTCCTTTAGAAAATATAAGGAACTGCTTAATCAATAATGCAGGATTCAACAATCATGTAACTCAGGTAACTTTACTTACAGGTTTAGCTGACCCATATTGTCTCCTAAGCATAGTCTCAAAGTCCAAGAGCAATAGGAACTCTCCAGTTAACTCTCCAAGAACATCCCCCAAGCCAAAAAGGAAAAGTCGGCATGGGTCATTGGAAATAGGAGACGTTAAGCGTACGCAGATTATCAAAACTACATTGTGTCCACGATGGAATGAGGAGTTTGAATTGTAAGTCATCTTACAGACTTTTAACATACAAACTTTCAAATAAACGAAAAGTGTAAATAGAATGTAGTTTAGATATACATATCTGGGAAACAGATGACACATGAGGTACAATGCATAACACAAAATGATAGTTCACAACATGTTTTGAAAATATTCTCCTAATCTGCATGTTATCAATAAAACTACTCATGTTGTATTGCAGAGAGGTGCGGGATGTCCATACACAGGAGTTGCAGGTATATGTCTGGGACTCAGACGAGGGTAGTACGGTCAGTGAGCAGCTGAAGCAACTCGACAGACCATCAGGTCTGAAAAGGTACATACAAAAAAAGATTAAATACCCCATTTCTTGAAATCGGAACCGTTGAAAAATATAAAACGTTTATATAGTATTATATAGTAAGTTTTATTGCTATTTAAAGTTTTAGGGTACAGTACAAAAACTAGTACTGTTACAAAAGAAAATTATTATAAAAATATCTATAATATTCAGGAGCTCATGGGTCTGTTCTTAGCCATTCATTTCGCAATATCATCGCATTATCTTTTCTTATATTTTTGTATCTTTAGGAAATATCTGAGCAAACAGCATTTTTGTAGCAATACGTTCCACAATCTGCTTTATGTTTCAGTGTGTTCAGACAAATAAAACAGACATTGGAATTCGGCAAAGCAGTCGATGAATTCATGGGACAGTTCAAGGTCCCACTAAGAGTGAGTCGATTTATACATGAGTTCAATATTATCGTTATATTGCTTTATGCCTTATTTCGTTTTCAAATGTTGTTATCCATCCCTTTTAGTTGATTTTTATAGATTTTTTTGTAATTGAATCGAATATAATGTATTGCAAGTATTGTTATAACGGTTTTCATCACATTAGGCTCATCTTGAAAATTATTGAAAATTATAGAAGGCTTGGGATTTAGTTGTCTGCTTCATTTATCAACCAGCATTATACGCCTTATGGCGACGAATATATTAATCTAGAATGCGTTAATTTCAGGACATTCCAGCGACTGGGATTGAGACATGGTATGACTTATACGATGTCTCAAAAAAGAAAACTTCAAAAAGTTTAGGACAGTGTAAATTGAAGTTGAGTCTTGCGCACAAACAGGTTAATATATAATTTAAACATATTTTGTATTTTTTCCATTTGAATACAAAGCAAACGTGTATTTTTTCCATTTGAATACAAAGCAAACGTGTACATAAAGTTTAAGGATTAATATGCACTGTAAGATATCTAAAACCTAAAATTTATTCTGTAATATTAAATGTTTAAAATTGAATTGCATAATTGTAGGAAATGGATCAGATAGACTGTGCTGAAAGTGAGCAATGTTCCATCGAGGATTACTACCACATAGTAAAACAAATGTATATACACGTATCTAAGTCACTGAATGTAAGTCAATGATAATTTTATTGTTATTTGTTATTAATACATTTGGAATAAAAAACGATCAAAACGCTAATAAAAGGGATAATTTTCTAGTAAATGTTGCACAATCAAATAATACAACTAAGCGATTTACCTCGGAAGCGTGATTTACTATTTGTACCGTGTGGTTTAACATCCTTTGTATATTACATGTATTATACACGATGCATAACTTCATATTACTACACTGTACTATCAAACTTGCTATACTATTATGGTACTCTATTTCAGAATGATAAGGATGTCCTTCCGCGGTTGAATCAAGTCAGTCAGAGGATATTGGATCAATTTGCTAGTCAGAACCACCTATCAAAATTCAGCCAAACTCTAGTGTGAGTACTCGATGGTTGTTTGGTATTATGCCTTGGTCACATTTGCTACGATTTTCACTACGGCACCCGGCCGATTGAGTATTTTGTTCAAAATTGAATTAATATTGAACAAAACACTCAATCGGGCGGGCGCCGGTCGATGGATCGGAGCAAATGTGACCCAGGCATTAGGAATCTATTTGTCCCAATTATTCTCAGCGTTTCCTGACAGTTGATGAAATAATGAACATTGCTTTGGTTTTGTTCCATAAGTAAACACGTCTATTCAATAACTGTATCTTCTTCATATCCTGTTTACACTTATTTTCTGAAATAAATATTATAAAATGATTATGGTCCTTATTGGAAAACACAATGTTTTGATTTTTAATTAATTAATAGATAGAATGTTCTTGTTTGTAATTCGGTTCTATCATTTTCAGCAATTTGTCTGTCATGTTAGAATGGACAACTAACAGTGAACGCGGAATAATAACTGATGACATCATAAAGGAGTCTAGTATGAATATGGAAGTAGAATGGTTGAGAACTCAGCTTGATGATAGTGACGCACCACAGAGAGTTATCCTAACAGATACAGAGGTAAATATATTATGTGTTGACGATTCTTCAGCAAATATAATTGCGATAATAATATTTCAGATATTCCCTTCACATGCTGATGTTTTGAACTCAAATTGAATTTTGACTCATTAATCTGTTAATCAGAGTATATTATAACGTTTCTAGATTAACTTGACTCAGTAAATATCTTTTGATTCTCGTTTAGAGCATTGAATAAGTATGCCATACATTGATTGAGATATCCTGAATCCCGATCTTAAAGAATGTGATTGAGATTGTGTTTTCACAAACAGAAGTTGGAATTAACCCAACGGAATTGTGGTGACTTCTGTTTTGAGTTTTTTGTCTATGTTTATTTACATTGAGTTATTACATGTTACTGCAAGTGAACAAATATTTGTGGTTTGAATACTCGTCTCAGTCTGAGTACTTAATGAGATCAGACATCTAATATCATTCAAATCCTGGATAGTCAGTTGTTTCAGTATGAGATCATTGAGTTATTTGCTGATTTTGTGGCTTTGGCACTGTTCCCCTCTTAAAGTTTTAAAATATGGCTAAGTTCTTTTGGAAGCATATTCGAGTTTTGGATTACTAAGAACCATATCCCAAAATCCTTGTGATATCTTAGGGTCGAGGTATTTTTTATATTGAATGGTATCTTCATTATTGTATTGTATTGTATTGTATTGTATTGTATTGTATTGTATTGTATTGTATTGTACTGTATTGTATTGTATTGTATTGTATTGGATTGGATTGTATTGTATTGTATTGTATTGAATTGTATTGTATTGTATTGTATCTGTTTATGCAGCTTGTCATGTTTGATGCAGCAGCTACTGGGTACATTCATCACCTGATTAAGGATCTCAACGACATTCCATCATTATTCCCACCAGATGTACAGCACCTCGATGAATTCAAAAATAAACTCAGGTATGTTTCTTTGAAACGTTGGACCTGGAGTATAATGTTAATTACCTTTGAGGAAACATACAAAATGGAACTACAAGAAGTCATCCATACTTAACACGAAACAGTTTCATATAAGCATTATATTATAAAATCAAAATTTACCAAAATCCTATACTATGAACTGGCGAAATACCTGCACCATTGGAAGACTTACGACATTCTGGTAATACTTTACTGCTTAGAAAAAATTGAAAATTATAAATAAGATTTTTTTTTATTAAATTCCAGCATGATAGTAAACCTTTTAAATCTCCAACTATGGACCACGAAGGAAACTCTTCGCAAGGATCTCTCATCTCTTATTGTTGAACGTCTCCAAACAGACGTCAGGACATGGACTGAAAATCAGCTTACATATGTGGAAGTTTCTATGAAAGACACTGTCATACCAGAGACTGCTGCCTTGATTGAAGTGATAGATATGGTGACGATTGCCATCACGCCTGCTATGCCTTATGTGCAGTTCTTTAACCGATTGGGAATTGATTACTACAGAGTCGTGTCATTTGGTATTGAATCTAAAGTAAGTGATATAAATGAATGTTGAATATTTATGGAATGATATTGAATACCAGAATTGACGTATCTTGTACAACTATTTTGCCGTTAATTACTCTCAAAGTAAAACAAACATAATGCATAAAAAGGATATTTTTTAAAGTATTGGACAGTAGCTACATCATGTAGACATGACACGCTAAATATCATTAAAAATCAGACAAAGTCGCACGAATCATTCAAAGTAGCTCTCGTAAATATGGAAGCATGAGTGGAAAGTCCCCAAGTTTTGCAAAGAAAAAAGTACAATAAAAAAAACTCAATTTTTCAACCAATGAACTTAAGACACAATGTATAACATTAACACATATTTTACATATATGTAGATGTCAAAGCGGGTGCAGGAATTGATGCTTAAGATGGACCAGTATCAGATGAGGTACCAAAAGTATCCCCCTAACATCACAGAGAGCAGCAAAGTATCATTGAGACTGTATTTCACACTGAGGAAATTGTTCCAAGTCGTGAAGGATAACATCAACGAAAGGTAAGATTTGTGTGAGGATTATTTGTGTAATAGATGGAAATTTTGTACAAAGAAATAAAGATGTATGCCTTAAGGAAGGACAACAAAGTAACACAATAGTAGTGACAATACTTAACAGATTTTCTTATATCTGAAATTGTTCGACATACAGTAGTTACATGAAAATCTCATTTTCATATTTACGTTCGATACCTTACAGTAGATACAGTTGCATTACTTTTTTCCAGAGATCTATTCAGGCTTAGTCTTGCTAAGTTTCACAGCTGGTTTACAGAATCTCTTGTATTCTGGCTGTCCACATTCAAAACTGAGGCTGTCAGGCGCATGGAAAAGGCCTTGGAGATCGACAGAGATGTAAGGAAATTGTCCATGTTTTTCGCACTGCCTCCATATTGTTTGCTTCCGAGCGTTCTTTCCATGGCGATATGTCAAGCTTTAAAAACATAAACAAAAATTATTTCTTAAATCGTTTTGGTCATTTTGACGCTAAAACAGAGGAGTTTCATAATAAAGTAATGGGACCTGTTTGATTATTCCATTTGCAATTAAAATAACCCATCAGTTGTAGTAAATTACAACTTATGATTAATTTTCAGTTCACTTTCATTTATTAGATGTCACTGATGCCCATTTTAGGTTGTACAAGTTACGAGTCTTGTGAAATATTCCAACTCTAGCGTTGATGTACTCTCTTCCTTTGCCAAGATAACATCCGAATGGAAAGCTATAGATTTCCCTGACCCGGACAACCAAGTCATGGGTGTTACCAAAATAACTGATGTAAGTATACACACAATAAATTTATGACTACACTCGTTGATGCATCTTCGTTGATTACAAAATAAGTATTATTTTACTGATATTAGTGCAAAACCCAAGAACGTCTGAGTATTTCACTAGAAATGATGAGTACTATGTATATTAGTTTTACGTTTTATGTTTTTTGTACCAACTTGTTTTTTTAATTAAATACGAGAGCTTGTAATTGAATATTTAAATATGTATTTCCATATTTTAGACTATCTGTGATGGGGCAAGACTTTATGCTGACAAAATTGGATGTATCTTGGAACGAAATGGGTACTACACAATGAATGAAAAAAGTCAGGCTACATTTGATGTTACTGACCAGGTATGTCATTTCCGATTGCATTGTGATAAAGATTGGATAATTTTCTGGTTAGATTAATCATTTTTTATCCATACGTATTATGCGTTTGGGATTTGTCTTCTTTATGCCTGGTTGTTGTACCCCTTGTCTTGTTTTATAACATTTTTACTGGTGGTTTCATTTAGGTACTTGAGCATACATGACTGATTTTATTACTGTTATTTACAGCTTTGTATCACACTTAACAATATTGAGCACGTCCGGCAGTACATTGATGAACTCCCGAATCTCTTGGAATGGGAAAAAGTTGTCGCTGCCATGTCAACCAAACACGAAGACGAGGCTGTCGGTGAACAGAGCATGCGCACTTTGGCAAAACTTCAAAACACTGCCCATGATGATGTCAAAATGAAAAGCAGTGTTCTCCTTCAGAAGATCACTGACCGAATGAGCGTTGACATCCGGAAATATACCCTATTGTTTACAAGGGGACAGCCATTAAAGAAATCTGTAAGTTGATGATTTCAACTTACCTGTAGCTTGATTAAATTACAAAGTATTTGAATTAAATATTATACAACGGATGTTGCCTTTAATAAGCAAGAACATTTTTTAAATGAAACACAAAAGTATAAAACTATAGTCCATATGATACTTATGTAAGGATATTTATCCAAATAGCATCTATAAATGTAAACAATTAGAATTTCATATTTACTGATATAAAATATTTTACTATTAAAACAACGACATCTATAAATAAAACTAGTATCATAATGTAATGTTATATTTTGTAATATTTTACTTTTCAGTCTATAGACCCTATATTGGATTACTTAGAGAGCAACCTTCACATCTTATATGAAAAGCTGATGTGTTGCTATTATCCCAAGATGCTCGAACACCTTTGGAATGTTGTCTTAACTGCAGTCCACGACACCCTACAAAATGGGGTAAGGTTTGAACAATCATCCCAGACTTTGATTATAGTTTAATGATATACAGGTGTAAAAAGGGTGCATTTACATATACATTGGATATCCGGTGATTTTGATTTCGGATACTGTTAGGCTATTTATGTAGTATATAACGATTACATTATTATATAGTTATGGTTACACGGATCGTTTAATATTAACATTTTTTTTCATATTGATTGATTCGTTTTTATGTTCAACATTTGTAGAATTTTATGCGCTGATTGTTCTTTTTATTCTATTCTGACAATTATGTTTCCAGAGAAGACCAGAGTATTACGTTGAGATAGAAAACAAAATGGTGATGTTGAAAGCTTACTTCTGCAGGGCGAGTTGTATTGACATATCCATGTCAACGTATCTCTATGACAACCTGGACCATAGGCTAAATTTAAACTCTAAATCATCGGAAGAACTAGAGCAAGAATACTGGGCGAAAATATGTGATTCAATGGTAAATAATTATAGTTGAAATCATGAATAATGCTAAAACAAGTATTAAAGTAATGCATATAGTGACCGTCTTAATTTGTGTTGATATGAAAATAAGTACAAAAAGTTTAAAATTGGTCAACGTAGCCTCCTGAATGTGTTTCGAAATTTGCCTTCCTTGCATTTTTACCCCTAACATAATGAGTATATTAATTAATCAGATTTATATATTTGCAGTCAACTCCATTGGACTATCTGGGTCATCTTGCAGTAAAGATTGGTTATAAGAAAGAGACAGATACTTCAATATCCCTTTATGTTAAAGGTGAGAATTTATAAATAGACCGTTAGTGTAGTATATTAACTCGACCAAGAAGTCTGGCTACAATGAGTATAGAGGGTAACATATTTTTAATTAGCTGTATATGTAGATGTATATAAAATGTAGATAATATAATACTCATCAAATAATAATAATACTTTATAAAGAATTGTTGTATTCCTTTATTATAGTAATGAATGCAAAGAGCTTACCTGGTCTAAATAGAGCTGGACTTAGTGACCCATTTGTAACAGTGGACCTTTGTCCAAAGACAAAATTCCCCCACTGTAAGCAAGAACGAACAAAAACTGTGGAGAAAAATCTCAACCCCGAATTTTATGAAAAATTTGTGTAGTAAGTTTGCATTTACGAATTTGAATAATTAAATGACATTGTACAAAGCATATCTTCTAAAAATGTTATAGCATGATTTAAAATAAGAATGGTACATATTATCAACACAATAAACGTTAAATACACTTGCCTCCATTAGTTTGGCAAACGGAAGTTTTTATTTGGTAGTGTACTTCATCCTTTTAATGTATGAATTTTAATTTTGTTTGCAAAGTGACAAGTTCAATGGTTTTTGTGGGTCACCAAATACAAAGACAGCTTAATTTTTATTTGTTCCACTGATCTATTAGTGGCTGGTTCTTATAATAAATAGTTTTCCTGTAAGATCTATTATCTGCAGTTTAAACCATTTCTGAAATGCAATCTTTAATCTACTTACAGTGACAACATTCCAATTGGTGTATTAGACGAGAAAGGTGCCGTTTTAGTGTTTAGTATCTGGGACAGACAAGCGTTTTTCCCAGACCGCTTTATTGGTGAGGTCATCTTACAACTATCTCATGCCCAGCCAATGATGACACAGGAAATGCTTGACGTCACAGTAGTCATGATGCCGGTGAAACGACCTCGCGAACCACATGGACCATTCCAGGTAATCTTCATTAACGTAATACTCCCCTAATAGTTTTCCTACAGCTATGTTTTTATGTCTGACTTTGGTTTTATTATACCATATGCTCAATCGTACTGAAGAAATGATTGTTCTTTTACTTAATGTACAATTTAAGAAAGAAATTATTCAAAGTTGATTATTTAATTCTTACTTTTCCAGGTGCTTAGAAGTAGAACAACATTTGACAAAGATGTTAAGACATTTGTGCAACAACGATCCCGGGTCATGCGACATCAACCAGAACGGACTGATAACAAGATAAAAAATTTAACTGGACTAAAAGATTGGTATTCAGCGTTAAAGGTATTCTATTGTGAACCGGAGGATTACGATTGAACGACATAATGCAACATATTGCCTTAAATTCTAGGTGATGTTGATATCTTTCAACTCTGTTGTCAGTAGGCTATGCCAACAACAATGGTAATACTGCCGTTTAATCGGAGTAAAATGGAGGAGAACGCGCTTACTTATGAACGTGGGTTTGTTCTTGTTGGGATTGGACATGATGTATGTTGGTGTCAGTGACAAAATAACCAAGCCACGACACAAATCTCAGTTTCAGTTGTCTCTCAAACACTGATACTATCTTGACCCACGATCTATTGCAGTAATGATTCATGGGTTTTGCTGAATGGATATTTCTGTGTAATTGTCTGACAGAAAACTATTAAATAGGCTGCTGTGGAGAAATATGGAACTGAAAAATATAAATGTCAAACGGGACTACTGTATGCCCTGCTATTTAGGAATTACAGTGCAGGATTAGTAAAATGATGCAAGATGAAATCTGTATTTGACATTTAGCTGTCATTGTGTCTTTAAACATGAATGCAAAGATTTGTCCAAACATGAAAGTTGTATTTGACAAACAGTTGACTATCACTGTGCATTGAATATGTATTGACATCTATTTATTTATTCTATGCAAAATAAAAATGATGAAATGTGCACTCTAGAATTCAAGTGTTGTTCTTTGTTTATGGATTCGTAGAGATTATCAATTATGTTATTCAATAAATACAGATGCATCTTAAAGTTTGATGATATTGTTAGTCATATGACCTGCCTTGTCTACCTTTGAATTGCCCATGGACTTTGCGACCGAATTCTGTCTGTCCCACATCATTTTAGACTGAATTTTTGATGATATGAGTATTTTCTATCAATCTTTTCCTCAATATGTATTGAAATGACCTTAGTATGAATGAAATGTCACTTGGTGTTTTAGTTCTGGATTGTGATATTGGCTCACGTTAGATCATGGTTATATTTTCTTATGACAGGTTAACAATTAGTTACTTTTCATGCGAGTTTTTGGTCCTCTCCCTTGGCGTTTTTGCTAAGATATGATGGCAACTTTGAACATGCTCTGATGTACATTCATGCAAGATCACTAATGGCATCACAGTTTGATATCACATTGTAATAGATACAAAGGGTTAAGAAGACAAAGAAGTAAAATCATACATGTTTCAAAGGTAACATGCATTTAAACATGATAAATCGGGTCATTCTCGCAAGGTTTTGAGTTGATTTATGCCATAATCACTCGATTTCTGGTCCCTAAATAGCAACCAATTTTTAATAAATTTTTCTGTTATAAAGAAAACATTTTTTCTGGATAAATCAGTTCAATCATATGATCACCCCTAGTAGTTCCATTTGTTGACTTGCCGCTCTAGACTCTCCTATAGACAAGGTCACACTTTACCTTCGTGGTCATATGTCGATCGTCATAAGTCAGGATAAATTCATAATCAACAGTATAATTCGATTTTCAGCCGGATCACCCCCTGGATATAAAATATTACCTAACATAATAGTCTCTTGAGTACTTCAATGACAACTTTATTTTCACATAAACATATCAATATTATCGTAATACAAAACGTCTTTGTTTTAATAACGGATATATGTCTATCAAATAGAGAGATGCCAGCGTATTATTACATTGTCAGAATACGATATAAAACAATAATATTAGAAAATGATTTATACAAAAGATATATCTTGAAATAACAAAATAGAGAAAAACAACGTCAAAATATTCGGATAACAAAAGCAGTAGGCTGACTCATTGTTGTATGTTTGCAATCTTCCATCCACAATTGCCAAGAATTATGAAGGATTGGTCAATTCAACAACGATTGTACGACTTAAATACTATGCTTTTTTTACTTTGAAGTATTTAATCATAGATTTGTGACCACGCAGTTTTGTTGATCAAACAGTTTTGCAATTACAACAATTCTTTTAAATGTTGATACATGTTATAGAACATAAATCTTAAACGAACAGTTGAATATATAATGTTGATATTTAAACTTCAAAGCTTAAAAGTGAGATGTAAATAAAGTACATACTTTATAGAGGGGGTTGACCATGTATTGACCATGTATTGAACCGGAACGAGGCCATATAGGTCGTAACAAAAATCAATGGTAAGTGACTGGTTCTCACAGTGTTCTGAAACTTGGCTGGAAATCGAGAGGCTCGCAGTTAATTTCGGTAGACTTTTGAATGATAACGTTGATTGTTGAATAATTATGAATTTTGCGAGATTCTGCACAAAAAATGTCAACTCCCTTGAAACATTTGTAAATACTTGTTATTTCAGGAAAACCAAGTCTATTTGATTAAAAAAATGATATAGTTGTCATCGATAAAATCATAATAACTTATTTACAAAATTGTGTTACAAAAAGGGTGGCATATTTATGAAAGATCCCAGTGTCTCTGCAAAGGAATAGACGATACATCTTGTGACGCTCATAATGCTACATCTGGTTAAGCTTATCAATTAAAACTTCTGGTGGAGTTGCTCCAAGGAGCTGTTTAGTTTAATCATAATATTCCCAAGAACAAATCAGAGTTTATGCAGACAAAAAGGGTGCCACAAAAAGTCATGCAATATTATTTGGATTGGTGGCATTTTTGTGTCAAGCGGCACTTGTTAAGATGTTTCTACTTTTACTATGTTGACTTGAGAATTAGGCAGAGCCATGGCGGCAGGCTACACCTGTAGTGGTCATTATCCGGTGGTGCAAAATAGTGAAATCTTGCCCAAAGGACCGATTCACTATTTTGCTCTTTGAGATGATGTTATTGGTGTATTCTTAGTCAAACCTCGTCCTCTACACATAGTCATGGAATTAAAAGCGGCTCGTCGAGAGTCTCGAAATATTATGAGGTATGATTCAAGAAATACTTTTAATGGTGCAAATATGAATAGAACCTTTGTCGAGGTTTTATTATAGGTATTACAATTCACGATATTTCGAAAATAAGAGGTGTAACCTCGCGCGAGGTTTTCAACCATGAGGTATCACAATGAGGTATATCTTTAAGTCATGAATTTAAGTCAAGAATATGTCTACCAGTAACACCATAACATGGCATACACTTTTTACAGTAAAACGTTACGTCAATATTAATATAAACTAAGTTTGAATCGCTTAATGTGAAAAAAACGTGCGTTACAGTTCAGTAACATAAAATGCTATTTTAACAATATTAATTTAAATTAAAACCCACTTAGGTAGCAACGCAACAAAAGAGACTTGGCTTACTTTAAGAATGCCCAGCTGTAACAAAGACGAGTGCATTGTTTTTCTATTGTTTTTAAAGAATGTATACTTGGCAAGCTATCCAAAACTAGTATGGCACATAAAGAGGATTAACTGTGCAGTCTAATAAAGCTGAAATAATTATACCTCATTCACTTATTCAATGGTTGAATAGTACACACAAAATAAATCAAATTTTAGACTCTTACACGAAGTGCACGAAAGCTGGACTCATTACCGCATAGTCAACAGAAAATAAACCAAGTTTTCCTAAAATTGGACCACGGGCCATTTAGCTTTCAGAAGAGTCTGTGTGGGCTTTAAGTTAGATAAATCATTTCCATGGTTTTAAGGAGAATTAACAGCCTCGGACTGGCGGCCTCGGCTATTATTTCTCATAAAAACCAATACTAATAGTTTATCCCTAACTGAAGTTTGCGTTGATTTAGCAATGTCATCAAGTTCAGGGTAAGTGAACCCTGCTCAAAGGAGTCTTGCTAAATCGAATATCACCCTGAAGATATGACCGAGAACTTTTAATGCCTGTATACTTTAAAATACGACTGTTTACTCTAATATACGACACTTTACTCTGATATACGACATTATTATATTGACTACACATCAAATATCAGTGTCACTTCCACACTCAGTTCGTGGTCGCCGCCAGTAGAAATATCCCCAAGGAGGATTGACAGCCATTATTCAAAGTCAATCTTTCGTTAGCACACATTGGTAAAAAAATTACCCATATGTTATGGAGACAAGTACTGCCATGGGAGTTTGAATATTATCATAATACTCGTTTATATTAACCTTCCAACCATGGGCTTGAAAGTCCATGCTCCAACGAAATATTTGGTCTAAAGACTAACCATACAGAAATACTAAATTGTTCAATGTCCATCAGGCAACGAAAATTCGAGTTTAAATAATGACTGCCAATTCTCCTTGGGTTATCCCCAATGATTAAAACGGAAACGGGCCAGGTTGAGAACACAAACGTGTTATTAACTGACGTCATGATCATAATGTGGACAGGTCAAAGAAGGTCCCCACGGTACACTGAACGTTTGTGCTCCATGTGAGAAATCATTTCAGTGACGATTATGTTATCGCATGATGATGATTTTTTTTGTCGGTGTACATCTCATCTTCTCACTGCACATTTCACGACGAAAAAATTCCAAAATATAATAACTTAAAGCAAATAAATAAACAAGGAACCTCGACACTGGCGTCATTTGTGGACATGCCAAAAATGTTTCACTCAACAAATCAACTAAATAGTTGTTGTATTTTCAGTGGGTGAACTTCTTCTCGCTTCATTGTAGTTGGTATGTCTTCTTAAACCTGCGCAAGTACATTTGCAAATCCTCTCACTAAGCTTACTATAGCCAACTCTGATATTCTTTGTTCGCAGGCCGTAAATTACGGGATCAGTGGCAAAGTTGATGAATGGCAGAAAGTAAACAAAATCATAATAGATAGTGGACATATTTTTCCTATAACGAGCTAGACGGAATATGATATAAGGCAGAAGTGATAAGGTTAATGTCACCATTAACATTATGGTCGTCAGAAATGCGTGGTAATTTTCGTCTGCGCCATGCTCACTGCGCCATCTAGCGGATCTTGTTCGGAGGTATCTAGAGACCCGGATGTAGAGAAAGAGCGTCACGATGGGTGATAAGAGTATCGCGCATGGCCAGAAGTAGTTCCACAACTCGCATGCAACGTGTTTGGTATTATAATCGAAGAAAAAACACATTCCTGGTAAGCTCAACATGGCTGATATAATCCAGATCATTATTAGAGCCACGCCTATTTTCTTTACTGTAAAAACATCCGTATAGCCTATTGGCCTGTATATGGCTACATATCTGCAGATTGCGAAAATTAAAAGTGTCAATGCCGACGTACAGTAGAACCAAACGAAGAGTATATAGCCCATATATCGCAAATAGAAGGAAAAATTGAGAGAGATATCAACCCAATAAAAGGTTACCATGCTCAGCGCCTCTGTGTATGTGAAAAAAGCAGCTAAGATGTCCGTAATTGAGAGATTGAGAAACAATAGTTGGTTTGCTGTCAGTCTTCCTGGAATATGACATATGGATATAACAGATATAAGATTGGCCATCGTGGCCAAGAAACACAATATTGTCGAAATAGAGATGAGCCTGACGAGTTCACCATTCCCAAAGTGAAACGACATAGGTGCTGTAGAAGACCCAGTCCCGTTGGCAGTAGCGTTGAACTTTAACGCATCCATTGCGCCTGTTGTATTACCCACAGCATAAATCCCGTTTTCCAGGGCATCCAGGGTAGAAAAGGTCAAATTAGATCCCCGGGTTTCAAATCGATATTCACTTTCAAGTAGTTTAAGCGATTCTGAAGTATTATCGACAATGTCGTTAATCCCCATAGCTGTCCGGCTTGTATCCCACATATCCGGCATCACTCGCTTGGAGCACTTCTGGAACGCTCGCAAAGATAAACGGATTTAAACAATGACGGTTTGTCAGTGTAGAATAATTTTTGTTTTCGAGACGAATCGATTGGACAGGATAATTATTGTAGTCTGTTATTGAGATGTCGTTAGTGTGCCGCAGGACCAATGTTCCGTCGACAATCAATTAATCTTTTAAGGCCAGTTCAATTGTTCTTTTACTCGTCATTTCTTCAGGTTACCTTCCTTCCAGTAACTGATATAATTAAATTGCCTTGCGCTGCAGATGCTATTGTCCTCTTATACTATATCCAAACTATTTTTTCTCTCTTAATTGCATTTGGGTTGTCCCAAAGTCTCGCTTATTGTTTTCTTATGTTCTTCCTGATACGATATACGATAGCTACAGGATCAACGACCGGAAAAGGCACCGTTAAAGTCAACTTAGGTCAACTATATTGTATTATTCATGGAAATTCGAAATTCCCTGGTTGAATTGAGCAGCGAAGAAGCCATTAATTTTCCTCCTTTAATCAAATCCAGGTCTGCATACTAGCTCGTGTTGTCGCGTATCTGAAAGCAACAAACCATCAACGAGTATTTATATTAACCCAATAATACATGTATACAGAGGCGTTATAAAATACAAAAATTAAAGTTGATAAAATCGCTATTATAGTTTTTTTATAATATACACATGACCTAGGAATATATTTTTAAATTAGCAGCCAAAACATTCAATCAAATGTTAAAATACAATATGTAGCATCTTGATGAATATGGACAAGAATTTGATACGAAAATGTTCCAAGCAAAGTTCTGCCCATGTTTCAAATAATTGATGATTAAATAAGCAATACAACGCGTCCAGGCATACTATTCATTAACAGACAGATTGATTTGCAATCCACCGATCGCATTACTCCGGCCGATGTATTGTTAACGATATAAGCAAGACAAATGCACCGATCGGTTTATTCCTAAGTGACAATTAAGTATCCATGGTAATTTGTATGATTACTATATGCTTACCAAGAAACCTGATTGGGAAAACAATTTTGTTATTTAATTTCAGAAGGGAATAGAACAAACTATTTATGTCATATCTAATCATACTTCACATGTATTGTTTGCTAAGGTGGCTAAAAGAAACACACTATTTATGTCATATCTAATCATTCTCTACATGTATTGTTTTCTAAGATGGCTAAAAGAAACACACTATTTATGTCATATCTAATCATACTTTACATGTATTGTTTGCTAAGGTGGCTAAAAGAAACACACTATTTATGTCATATCTAATCATACTGTACTTGTATTGTTCGCTAAGGTGGCTATTATGTACAAACTAATTATGTCATATCTAATCATACTTTACATATTGTTTGCTAAGGTTGCTAAAAGAAACACACTATTTATGTCATATCTAATCATACTGTACTTGTATTGTTCGCTAAGGTGGCTATTATGTACAAACTAATTATGTCATATCTAATCATACTTTACATATTGTTTGCTAAGGTTGCTAAAAGAAACACACTATTTATGTCATATCTAATTATACTGTACTTGTATTGTTCGCTAAGGTGGCTATTATATACAAACTAATTATGTCATATCTAATCGTACTTTACTTATATTGTTTGCTAAGGTGGCTAAAAGAAACACACTATTTATGTCATATCTAATCATTGTACTTGTAGTGTTCGCTAAGGTGGTCATTAGGAACATACTATTTATGTCATATCTAATCATACTGTACTTGTAGTGTTCGCTAAGGTGGTCATTGGGAACATACTATTTATGTCATATTGTTTGTTAAGGTGGCTAAAATGTACACTATTTATGCCATAAGTAATCATACATGTATTGTTGGTTAAGATGGTTATTATGTGCACACTATTTATGTCATATCTAATCAAACATTATTTTGTTTATAAGATGGCTATTAGGAGTATACTATTTATGACATATCTATTCCCACACTCCACGTTTGTTAAGGTGGCTATTAGGAACACAATATTTATGTCATATTTAATCATACGTGTATTGTCTGCTAAGGTTGCTATTATGTACACACTATTTATGTCATATCTAATCATACGTGAATTGTTTGTTAAGGTGGCTATAAGGAACACACTATTTATGTCACATCTAATCATACATGTTTTGTTTGTTAAGATGACTATTATGTGCACACTATTTGTGCTAATCATACATTATTTTGTTTTTAAGATGGCTATTAGGAGCATACTATTTATGCCATATTTATTCTCATACTCCACGTTTGTTAAGGTGGCTATTAGGAACACACTATTTATGTCATATTTAATCATACGTGTATTGTCTGCTATTAGGTTGCTATTATGTACACACTATTTATGTCATATCTAATCATACCTAAATTGTTTGTTAAGGTGGCTATTTGGTACACACTATTTATGCCATATCGATCATACATGTATTGTTTCTTGATTTGGCTATTAGGAACATACTACTTAGTATTATGTCATATCTATTCTAACACTCCACGTTTGTTAAAATGGCTATGAGGAACACACTGTTTATGTCATATCTAATAATACGTGTATTGTTTGTCAAGGTGGCTAAAAGGTACATGTAATCATGCATGTATTGTTTGTTAAGGTGGCTATTTGATACGCACTATTTATGTCACATCTAATCATACATGTATTGTTTATTAAGGTGGCTATCTGGTACACACTATTTATGCCATATCTAATCATACATGTATTGTTTGTTAAGGTGGCTATTTGGTACACACTATTTATGTCATATCTAATCATACAAGGGCCGATCAAAAAGTTTCTTACCGTTGGCTCTCAATTTTATAATAAGAGGAGATGGAAGCTCAAACTTTAACATGAGACAGGATAGTTGGTTTGCTTGAAACTGTACGAGTTTCATTAAATTGGTTAATTGGTAGTGACACAGAGTCAATTCATATTTTCAATGACAAAGTTAGGTGGAGCAGCGTTATATATAAAATATCTGCTGAGTTGTGGTTCTGGAAATTTACCGACATCATTCCAAACCTCTCATACAAAGGCCTTAAACATGTGTTTTTTGATCGAGTGGACAGATATAGGAAGTGCATTGCAACTGGGGTTGACTATTTTGAATGAGAATGAATATTAGCAGAAAAACTAATCAAAAATGATTAAACTACAGTCTGTTGACAGATGACCCTATTTAGTGTTAGAAATTTCCAAAACTGCAGCTTAGCACAATTTTTTATAAAAAACGCTGCTCCACCTAATTCAATCATTGAAAATATGCATTGACTCTGTGTCACTACCAATGAACCAATTTATATGAAACTCAGACAGTCTCAAGCAAACTTACTACCCTGTCTCATGTAAAAGTTTAAGCATCCAAGTCCTCTTATTATAAAATCTAGAGCCAACGGTAAGAAACTTTTTGATCGGCCCTTGTACAATGTATTGTTTGTTAAGGTGGCTATTTGGTACACACTATTTATGTCATATCTAATCATACATGTATTGTTTGTTAAGGTGGCTATAAGGTACACACTATTTATGTCATATCTAATCATACAATATGTATTGTTTGTTAAGGTGGCTATTTGGTACACACTATTTATGTCATATCTAATCATACATGTATTGTTTGTTAAGGTGGATATTTGGTACCCACTAATTATGTCATATCTAATCATACATGTATTGTTTGTTAAGGTGGCTATTTGGTACACACTATTTATGTCATATCTAATCATACATGTATTGTTTGTTAAGGTGGCTATTTGGTACACACTATTTATGTCATATCTAATCATCCACTTCCTGTTTGTTAAGGTAGCTATTATGAACAGAATATCTAAGTTATATCCCATCAAATTAAACACTTAGCGCTTGCTAAGGTGGATATTAGGAATAAAATCTTGTTTATTCATAATATGTAATCAAAGGGTGAATTTGAGAATGTTTATGTGCAAATGATCTGTTGGGAGTACAAGTTGCGAATTGTTCGACCTTGACATTTTATATTATGTAAGTATAACACAAAATGTGTAATTGTGAGATTTAAAAATCACTCAACACTAATCCCACAGGTTAAGAAATCGAAGAACGAAATGAACGGAGGTTGACTTTGAAATAACATGCGCATTGCACTTTCCTCAAATATTAGCTATAGAATCCAAGGCCATCGGGATTAGGCTTAGGATTAAATGGTATTACGTGAAATGCCAATGCAAATCAAATGTTATCCACAAAGGAGGACATCTAAGTCAATAGTTTGAAATGGTAAAGCTTGAAACGAGAATAAGTCCAACCAGTGTGATTTATGATACGAAATCATGCTCTTAATCAATTAAAATGCTCTTTTACAGAGACATAAACTCGATCGATCAAGACACACAATCATACATAAATGTATCATTTTAGTATTAGATAAATGTAAATAACATTTTTCATATACTCTAGGATTAAGGACGGAAATTATTAATGAATTATGTTGACTCATAATATCTCCTACGTTTTCAGCATTTTAGGAGAGAGCACCAATTCACCGCAACGGGTGAAGGTGGCAATTAAAAATCCCACTCAGGACCATTATTTTTTTCATGGACATAGCTCTAGCTCAGCAAAACAGTTCCCAGTGTTCATAAGAGTCTAGTCTAGCTTGTCTGATTTTGAGATAAATGAACATGGAGAGGGCTACCACCGCAAAGCCACTTGTGTCAGAAAATTATTCTGCTCTACATAGTCTCGAAAATCCCTCCGCTATTTCTAGAAATTCTGTTTCTAACCAAACTTTGAAATATTTCCTGATAGTTTAGTACTAACCCTATCGGCTTTAAGCATTGATTCATTTATTCAACACTAGATGGCGCTACGACAGGCCAGAAAAGGGAGAAAAAAGCATTTACCAACCAAATTACCGGTAACCGCTAGTATCCCTACTCCGAACTATATTCAACTGAAAATGTTTATATTTCGAAGATGGTCGAAGATGTTTCAAGGGACAAATCAGATTCCTTGAAGTTCATCGTGTGATTGAACTTGTCTCCTATTTGGAGCAAAGACTTGGAATGAACTGTACTTGATAAATGCCAACGGTATTTCATCAGAACCAATGACGTTGTATAATCAAGTCTAAATGGGATTCTTTTAAACATCGTTGATTAAGAAGAAGCCCTAGTAGTTTTTAATCCTAAGCCTCGAATCCAATGAAATGTATGTTTCTCAGAATTGTGTTTTAAGTTCTCATCTGTTTATTAAATCTCGTTTTAATAGTTTTGTTATGGCGTATTTTGCTAATAATTTGTCAAACTAACAAATATTAATAACACGTTCTCCGGCAAGTCATCAATAAGAGTAGTAAATACACTTATCTTGTCCAGTTGAATGCTTGATTATTGTGTTGATAACAAAATAAATCTCAAACTCAGTAATAAATAAATAGCATAAACTTGGTTATAGTAAAACCTGACCTTTAATCCGAACGCCATAGGGACCGGCCAAACGTTTTCGGATTGACAGGCGTTCAAATTTCGAGTTTTTTTTAAATGGAATTGAGTTTATTGTAGATTAAAAAGGGACCGAAAAATTGTTCACATTGGAAGATATTGCATTGGATAAAAGAGGTATTTGCGGATATACAGGGCTCACTGTATATTTAAGAATAAATATAAATCATAAAGTGGTATATCGGACTGGAAATTTATGGGGCTCTTGGCACATTAATCCCTAGATTGTCTTAACATCAGCAAGTACACCCGCCTTATTAAATTGTCTTTGTCTGTAGACCTATTAATGCTGCTAAACCAGTAATAAAATATATTGAAAGGATACTTAAGTTTAGAAGCGTTCTAGTTGTTAATGCTAATCCTTGAATGCATATTTGTAAGTAAATGGCAAGTTTAATTGTGATAAATACCGTCCGTGCTTTCGGTCAACATACTGATCTTTAACCATTTGGTATATAAAATGATATTTTGACTCGGTTATGTCTAACCCCCCTATCACACCAAACTACTTTTCAACCGTTCTTTCCAGTCCTACGAAAAAGCCGTAAAATGGACTGAATTTGGTTGTGGTCGGGAAATATATGTGCTGCTCAGAAATGCATTCTCTTCAAACAACGATGCTCATTTAAATTACATGACATTGATGAACTTTACAATAAATTCGATAAGATTATTCAACAATTGAACCTTAATTGGTTATTTATATGATTATACCCGAGCATTCAAGATGCGTTAGGCTTTACAATCGGTTTATCTTACTTCAGACATGCTTGTGAATCAGAAGATTGTGAGGAATCTATCAGCTAAAAATACAAATAAGGTTATAATTTTGCATTTTAGTTATGGAGATAATTGCGTCAAAGAAATAATGACGTCGCGTTCAACGTAAATTACATAGCAATATAGATTGTATGTGATAACGTGCCTTCTAGCTAAAAACTACGTGACAAACGAACCATTTTAAGTTAAGCTACACGTTTTTGAAAGAGCCTGTGCATGAACGTAAAGTTTATGGTGGTCCTTTAGGAATTATTTCTTCCATTCGTATTAGTTACTGGACATTTGAGTATTAGGTATTCGCTAAATTGTTGCAATAAAGGCGTCCCTTTGAAAAACATGAGAATGAGACAGTTATCCCTGGGGGTACGAACGTTTAAGTTCTCTAAAGGTGTATCCTAATATAATTTCCCCATTAATTCTACGAATTCGCCTGGAATGCTAAACTAATTGATTGCAATATTCTCTTTCGCAAATAGGTATATGTTACATCCATGTCGAATAAGTACACGATTAAACTGCATAACAAATGTTAACCTACGTTACAGTATCCTGATAATCACTCTTATTACTTTGGAGGGGACTTCAGTGATGCATTTATTTTTAATTCTGTATCTTAAATAACGGAATACTGCAAGACTAGAAAACGTTTCTTCATAGTCTCACTCTGTTGTCGACTGAGTAATTCTATTGGACTATTATAGGTTAGAATGTCTACTTGTTACCTTTAAGCAGTGTGGTGTTACGTGGTCTAACTTTAAAGCTATTCATGGATCACGTAAGACAAAACTCCAGATAACTAAAACAAAACATCTTACCTTTTTCCCATAATCTTGATAAATTCCAAGTTGCAATCAAAAATTTTGCTCTCTTATACGGACGAAGTAGCAAAACTTCACCCAAACATGTTAACAATATATAGACCATGTGTTATAGACGGTGGTATGTAAAAATCAAATGCCAACGCTTTTACTTGATATGCGCACTATACGTCAAATATGTGATTGTTCAACTCAACAACAAGGCTTCCAATACAATTTGTTTCCTCGATTTTATCACTAAATGAAATAAAAAAAACGTTAGTAATGACAGAAAGTACGACAAATACTCTTAGAATCAATATGAAACTCCGTAACGTACTGCGCGCGCATAAAACGAGACGGACTTAAAGAACAAACGGAAGTTTATATGTGAAAGTGCAAATTAAACTGAAGATAACTCCTTGCAATTTTCATGTGTTTTAAGCTATGAACTATTCTAATCAGGCCTAATATTGGGGTTACGAAGAAATGATAATTCATAGAATAGCACACTGGAACTTTTTTAATAGGTTCAAATCTCATTTGCTAGAGTTACTAAGATGTTTACATCAGAACCTGCAGATGGTATATTCAAAACACGGGGGAAGGTTGCTTCTCGGGGATAGTTACATTAGACAAATGAAATTTTCTAAATTAGATTATCTTCTAATGATTAACGATCTACGTGCGCTCTGGTTGACAAAAACATAAACTGATTAACTACCATACTCCACTGGATTAAAGACTCGGTTATCCTGCTTAATTGATTGTATGAAATGCCTCTGGAACATCATTATTTCTAACAAGATCACTTAGTATTAAGCTTGTGTATACTGTACTTTATAGATATCTAGGCTAATTTAATGCACACGTGACAATTGAATGCAAGCGCGTCACATCAACAACAACAAAACGTCATCGAATGATGTGGCATGAAACGCAAGTGAAATGTGAAAATATACATAAGATTAAGATGTATAAGATTTTTTGAGAAGATGCAACACATCAAATATAATATTGAGAGCGGAAATAAAAATTTTATGTCGTGTTTCGAATTCATTATATTTTATATCCTATTCCCAACAGGTTTTGAAACAAGAAGCTCATTCACGATATGTTACTAATTCTAAATGACGTGCGCTGTTACCAAGATGACGCATGAAAATTGTCTAGTGAACAGTAAAAGAGACACGGTTTATTTTTACAGAAAACATAATAATCCTGTAAATGAGTATTACAAGTTTACACAATTCCAGAGAGACACAATAAGATAATATCCATGAATAACAGACACTTAAGATTTATGAATTTCGTGATTGCTTGTTTGAATTTCTTGGATCGCATGTAATCTGGAGTATCATTTCTCCCCCCTCTTATAATCAGGGGCCAACACCTTGTTCCGCAGACGGTCCGTCCTGGGGACAAAATGGGTACATCCAGTGGATGAGATTTTGAGTTTTTATTTTTATCATTTCACAAACAAAGAGGTCGGTTTGCTATTACGTTTTGAGATATGATCTGTTATCCTCGGTGGATCAAATAGAGGACTTACTTGATTTGAGTCTTTTTATCAATTTAGCAAAGGAGATGTACCGGTTGAGTGAATGAATGAATAAGAGCTTATTCGCTTGTTAAAGCATGTAAGTTATACAATAAGAATACTACAGCAACGAAGTTCATCAATCTAAATGAGCATTATCCCTGCTTCGGACAACTTTGATTTTTTACATAATATAGATTTGAATGTCTTCTTTTAAATAGTCATAATTTAATTTGGGTAATATTTCTAGATTTTTCGCAAAAAAATATTAGCGCAGTACACTGATGAACTTCTTTCCCCAAATCGAGACTTGTATTTTATTGAATCGGTCAAATTGAGCTTTATCCCTGCTTCAGACCAATTTGTTATTTTTACATCTTGTAGATTTAAATGTCCTCTTTTGAATATTCATAGTTTAATTTGGGTAATATTTCTATATTTTTCATTAAGAAAAAATTATTAGCCCAGGAGACTGTTCTCCAAACCGAGAATCGTCCTTTGGAAGTTTTATTTTTTCAAGAGAAAATTTACAACTGAATTGCCAAATGAATAGGCGCAGTGCATGGCAAAATATGTAAGGTCATCTAGTATTTTTTTGAACTGATACCCTTCTAAGATATGAGATCTATTAAGAAAGGCGCATCATCACTAACGTGCAAAAGCCAATGTTTTTGCTATAAATCGGGCAACAATGCTCTACACCTGTTATAAATAAGTATAAGGGACGTTTTCATCACAACACTAATGACATTGCTCACCTTTTAAAGTAAGTTTTCATGCGTTATACAAAAAATGATCGAAATAAATTAATTTTCCATCCATTTTGTACGATCACCGGGCGTGTATGAGGCCAAAATATGATTACTGGTTAACATTTTTATTTATCAATACACGGTCTAACACATGCATTACAATCAATTTATCGTATTTGTAATGAATAATTTTGTATTCTTTATTTTGTGTATCTTTAAATGACATCATTGTTAGTATGGTCATTATTTTCTGATGATAGTAAAGAAATATAATTAATCAATTTATTATGATGCAAATGATTGAACATTATAGCTTTGGAACCAGAATGTAAACGTCAAAATCATTTGCGTATCAATTAGATACTATACTATTTCTCCGCTGTAATTTAATGCTTCACATCCTGGAATGTCTTTACTTGTGTAAAATAGCCTGGAGTGTCAAGGTGTATCGAAAAAATGCTTATCATTACAGCAGATCCTCCATTGACAGAGATCACGATACATTTCTGAATGGGTTTTATATCAATTAGCTTCTCATTATCTGTTCATCTGATAATTCATATGGAATTTATTTCTTTGCACAAATATATCATTTGATAATTATGATTTACATTTAGCAGACTCGTAGCTTTTAATCTGTGTAACATTATTGCAAATCGAATTCACTAGGCAGTATCAGGAGAATGTAACGTCAGTTACCTTACCTCAAAATGCCCGATTGTTAGTGTCAATTTTGATATTCTAGTTCTCATTAAATGACTATGTCATGGACATTTGGCCTTGAAATTTTGACCATTCCAAACTTGTACTTTGTGTTCATCTAACGATACGGTAACGCGAATTAGCCTTGTACTTCTTTCTCAATAAGGTGATTCAACACTTCCCTTTTAAGTCTAACAACGTTACCATTTAACTCTAAATCAATTATCTTGTAATTATCGTACGTAGCATTTTAATGGCAGAGTGTTGATCACCCCCTTAAAACCAACAACGTTCAGCTGATGATTAAATGATTCTCGCTTCTACCAAGAAGTCATGGGCGGATCTGGCAACCAACAAGGGGGGGGGGGGCGGCAAAACTTCTGGTCTGAGAAAAAAAAATTGTGCCCAAAATGTTGAAATGTTGAGGCCCATTTTCTTCAAAATTTGGCCTAGAATTAAAAAATAAGGCCATAGAAGGCCCTTTTACTACCAAAAAGGCCCACTTTTTGGGGCTTAAAGCCTTTTTTGGCTCATAATTTGTTATGGGCCCAAATAGGCTATAAACATTCACCAACTAGCTTCTACCAAAACGTCTAGCACAAGTTTCAAATTACCCGCAACAATAACTGACAAACTCGTATGGATGTAGGACGAAATATTTCAAAATGAGTTTTATCTAAAAATGCCCGTAATAGATGAATATGATTTGATTCAATGGGACTAAAAATATCTAAATCGAAACTTACCGTCCACCATTTTGAAAAACAATATAACGGCCGTTATCTTGTGACACTGAGCAGTGAAATTGATAGTTGACTTAACTATATTCCTTGTGGCAGTAATATCCATGTGATTGCTAATACTAGAAAGTGGATACAACGAAATACTTGGAGATTGTTACATTCAAATAATACGTTTGCAAGCTGAGTAGAAAAGCGCATTACTTCCACAAGTTGTTTGTAATTAATACGTTATTAGTGCGTAACCTTTGACGTTTCTTGCTTTGCGTCTTCCTAAGCAAATATTATAAGCTTAGATCAATAAAACATAATGTTTTATTTTGAAGTATTGCATTTTATGTAAAAGTATTTTTTAATTACATTCAATATTAGGCTACGATAAAATAATATTCAGCATATAATGGTATAAATGATTATACTTTTTGGCATATGACATAAGAAAGACGCATCCTGGTGTGCCTTGTTTTGATTATTTGTTGTTATGCGAATGATGAAATGATATTCAATATATACGACAATGCAGAAATCGTAATTAAAAACCATACATACGTTCTTACTCCCTTTTAGCTTTACTTTGCCGTCTCATTCTTTTTATGCATCTTGTATTTCACGGTTGATAATAATGATGATCTTTCAGACGTGTGTTGCCGCTTACATATTGTTCTGTAATAGTTATAAATATATACTCCGAGTTGAAATAGTATATGTGACACCGTAATAATGTTACGTATTGAAAGGCGAAATTACATCCTTGATCAAATTGTTAAAAGTGTCAAGATCATAAGACGTGTGCTAAAAATATGTAAAAGCGTTGATTGGCGAAGCCTTATCTTCTTAAGGTATCATTTTACTTATAATCATGCTACGAAATTACCTTATTGTCCGGTAAATCCACTGCCTTCATCTCTTCGAGAGCGGAAATAATAATCTAGATCCTATTTGAAAACTCTTTTTATATCCAAGGAGTTTTAAAACAAAGCATCCAACGACATGGTTCACCTCGCTGTAACCCGGCCTGTAACAGAGGTGTGAAGGGCATATAATTATGATAAAACAATAAAGGGAATACGGTTTATGTTGTGTACAAAACAAAGTATAATCCAAACGTATGAAAATAAAACTGAGAGGATCAGACTTAAGAAAAATAAACTTAATGGAAGAAATAACAAAATAATCACGGTTGAATAAGACATTGTTAACTTGCGATACAATAAGGCAAGAGTTCCATCTCCACGTGTTAACAACAACAGACAATAATCTTGAATATGAATGTCCCCCTTCAGGGCCACCTGTAGTTATTTTCTATGTTAAAAATCCAATTGTTAAATAAGTCATGATTATGAACGTATCCACCTTGCTATCAAAGTACAGTATTCACCATCTTAGGATCAGATCCATCCAGTTGCCCCCAATTTATTGCTTGTTCAAGCGTGTTTGTTTATGTCTCCATCATTTAAACCTCAAGACTGATGGAAAACGCATAACGTAAAGCGAATCAAACGTCTGTTTACCGGTACACTCCAGGAAGATAGATAAGTACGCTCCGATCATGCCGAGACATTAATATTGAACCGAAAAAATAAACTCACATAGAAAACAGCATTTTAAGTTAAGAGATCTATAGTGGTGCATGTACATTTTTTGACAAAGTAACAAATAACTCTTGATTTAAAAGATGGCGACACTTCTAAAAAATGAAAGAAGCATGTGTTACAAACAACTTCGCTATCTCTCATTGACTGGTAAAAACTTGATATATAAAAACTTGACAGATCAAAAATATTTTAAATAAGTTATTTTAAGTTATTTGTGGCCTATTTGAGCTGTTTTTTAAGTTTAACGGAAGATAAAGTACTTGTCAATCCATTGGAACTATGTTCAGAGGTATGTCCTTATTTTGCCCAGAAAATGTTAAAAATACGCATATTGAAGCTTTAATTAAGCAATACTATACTATACCTTGTTTTAAATTATAGGCCGGATGCAAAATACTAAGAAAATATTCTAAAAACGATTCAAGCGGACGATGTTATTATTGACCTTGTAAATTAAGCAATATCATACTTTGAAAACAATATTTTTGGTAGATATCTTTTGGAAAAATAATATATTGAGTAGGCTTTTCGTTAGAGACACGCACATGTCCATGTGATTCCGACTGCTCTTCTATCTTATATATGTACGTGTACGTGACGATTTTCTCCATCAACTTTTTCATCAATTTTCGACCTCTTGTTATTGAGGAAAAGGGGAAATTAAGTCAAAGTACACACTACAAGCTTCATTATCAGTTTTTTTCGTGCAGGATTTGAAAATAAAGAAACAAACATAGAGGGGCTTTAAAACGTAAGCCTGTGATGAAAAAGGTTGCCAAACGTATTGAGGGGAGAGTACACACAAGCACTTTAAAAGTATAGTTCAAATAAAATATGTTTCAGGGACACTCAAATCACGAGCCATCTAATTAAACCGGCAGGTCTAGGGAGTCATCAATATATTACGGTGATTACGTCATTGTACGCAGTTACAAGAAGTAACATAACTTCTTAGGGAAACAAAATGTCAAATCGAACTTCCTGCAAGGAAAACTCCGTAAGCAACCTTTTAATTTAGCACTTAGCAAATAACACACCCGGCGATATTTTACACGATTTAATGTCAATTTTTCCAGCGTGGCCCTCATAATTGACAACTTCGATAATTTAAGTATACTGCATTATCTTGACATGAAACACTAAATAAATTGAAATACATTGAGCGAAGGCCCTTATGAATTAAATGACTGTTTAGCAGTCCCTACTTCATCATGAAAAACCTGGGTGAAATATGACTTGTCTCCCCTTATCAGCATTTTAACTGAAATATGATTTAACATGGCCTAACTAGTCCCACACACCTTTAGGGTTTTGAGATTTCAAGAATTTTTTGTTATAGGGAAAAGCAAGATGTTGACACTGACAAATCTTATACCTTAAATAATTAAAGTTAAGCTTTTCATTGGTGCAGTAAGTTAAATTGGTGATTTATTATTGAAAAGTATGATTTGGTCACCAACTTGGTTATCTATAAAGTTTGCTTTATCCTTTAGAGCTTTGATACACCAGTGTCAACACGTTCATCCTCAAAGAGTTTCCATATGGCATTACTCCAAACTGATATCATCTCAAGTTCAAAGTCTCTTCTGTGAGTAACATCCGTCAAAGGAATATTAGTCTCGGGCCTTTCATCTATGTTCTTTTGTACTTCAT